TCATCCCAACTGCGACCTTTTGTCTGCTGCCCAGCAAGTCTGACTCGACCCGAATTCCATCGAGAACCGAATCGCGAACGCGGCAAATCCTCTGATATTTATCAATTAGCCCCGAAGTGGACATCCCGAGAAAGGAAAAAAAAAAAAAGGAAAAGGAAAACGGGTCCGCTTCCCTTCCTGCCCCCCCCCTCCCGGCTCACCTCCCACACCTCTCACTTCACCACTCCCACACCCTCCCCCCGAAAATTTTACACCAGGCGTCATCCACCGCAGATGCTTTGATCTTGTACCGCGGTCTCCAACTTTCTTGTTCTGGTCACCATCTGCACACGATACCTGGAAACTGTGCTGTGCTGTACTCGACTTGGTTCACGCGCAGCAAACCGTCCTGTCTGTACCTTCCCTCTGTACCAGATTGAGAACCTACGCGCCCAGTCACCAGCACAAAACGAAAAAATTCATCCCAGGTACCTTTCGCGCCTGCCGCTGGAGCAAGGAAGTTTGCCCACTTGCCTTCATCACTTACCGAACCCCCCCATCCAATCATCCACACCTTTTCTCTTCTCTGTCTCCCATCGCCCACCACGGTGTCAACCAACTCAAGCGACCAACGGTCCAACCTCCCACACATTCTCCGAAAAAGGGCCTTCATAAAGGGCAGACAGGATCCACTCCTCCCAGAAGGGGCGACGTCCAAACCCACATCTTCCCTTTTTTCCTCCACCCTTTGGACGGACCACTACTCAACGGTTCCTGCTTCGCACACCCTCGGCACCCACCCCGGCAAGACCACTTTTTTTTCTGACCCCCTCTCGGCGCCGCCAGGTACCTGACAGCTTTTTTTTTCTGCCGAAAAAGAGCAACGCGAGAGAGAGAGAAAAAAAATAAGAAGGATCGAGCCCCGTCGACCCACTCCCGACCCTCCCCAAAACCACCTCCAAACGGGATCAACTGGAGCCTCATCCCACCACAAAACCCACCTTCTCACAAAACAACACCTCTTCGCGTGTTGTCTCTGTTCTTGGGTTCGCGATTTCCATCATTCATTCACTGGTGGAATTTGTCTTCGAGCTCCTCGACCTCTCTCCTGCACTCACACGAGTATTTCCTTTTTGCTCGGCGCGCGCAGAAAATTCAGATCGGCTGGGTCGACGACTTCATTGTCCTTGTCCCACAAAATTTTCCCACGAGGCCGTTGACGAGTCCCCGTACAGACGTAGGAACGCGTCTCGACACCTCGCAACAACTCAAAGCTCTGTGCGCCTTTGTCTCGACAAAAGGCCATCAGACTCGCGGATAGCATGGACGCTTCCCAGTACCCTACCAATGGTATAAACACGAGCTCGGCCTCCTACCCGTCGCCGCCCGCAATCACGCCTCACCAGCTGCAGCACACCAACTCTCCCCTGCCTCACCAGACTCTGCCGCCTCTCCAGCCGCAGACCTCCGCGGCCATGAACCAGATGTACGGCAGCAACCCTCACACTCCTCGCACTCCCGCGACCCCCAACACTCCGGGCTCTGCGAACAACATGCCCGCCTACCCTCAGCAACCTGGAGCTCAGGCTGGACGCGGCGGTCCTTACCAGCAGATGGGCCAGTACCCTCCCCCGCCCCAGGGCTACGGCACTCAGTCTATGCTGCCCCAGACCACGATGGCTTCCTCTCACCCGCAGCCCATCGCGCCTGCTCCTGCCTCCGGTCGCGTCCCGCCCGTCCTTCGCCCCATGCCTGCTGGTGGCGTTATGCCTCAGCCCGGCATGAACTCTCCCTACGGACCTGGCTCCGTTCTCCCTGGAGGTATGGGCGATGGCGACCAGCCTACTCACGTGGTTGGCTCTCAGGGCCGCCGCGGCATCCTTCCCAGCGCTCCTGGACGCCCTGCCGCCACTCCTGCTGGCCCTGGCAACGCAAAGAGCACCGTCATTCCCGTCAAGGATGCGGACGGCAAGTTCCCGTGCCCTCACTGCACCAAGACTTACCTCCACGCCAAGCACTTGAAGCGTCATCTCCTGCGCCGTGAGTATCCCCCAATTGAGACCCCCGAAGCTGACGCTGACCAAAACGCGACTCCCAGACACGGGTGACCGCCCCTACATGTGCGTTCTGTGCCGCGACACTTTCTCGCGTAGTGACATTCTCAAGCGTCACTTCCAGAAGTGCTCCATTCGCCGAGGCAACCCGACTGGTGCTAGCCACTTGTCTCACCCTCAGGCCCACGTCAAGAAGAACGCTGCTGCGCAGAAGGCGGCTCTTGGTCAGGATGGCGGACTGAACCACCTCAATGGTCTAGGTAACATCCCTGCGGATGGCATGGTTCAGCCCTTCGGTATGATGCCTGTGTCGGATGGAATGGGCAACCTCGCGAACGATCAGAGCCAGCTGTCTCGCTCCAGCAGCCTGACCAGAATTGATAATGGCAGTAACCAAGACAGAAGGGGTTTGACAGGTTCTGTCATGGATGCTCAGGGCCGTAACGGCCAGTTCGAGCAGGCATACAACGGCGATGTCCCTAGCTCCATGACGCCCAATATGAATCAACAGATGCAAAACTACAATATGCCCCCGGGTCAAAATGGAATGTCCATGTATGGCGGGTCGAACTCGAACCAACAATCGGGCCTTGATTGGTCTCAAATGTTCCAGGCTGGTGCGCAACAAACCTACGCAAATACCTTCGAAACAACTCCTAATCTTGGACAGACGCAGATCGCAACCAACAAAGAGCCTAATGCTGGCACCCAAAGAACTGAAGGTCTCCCTGGCCCAACCCACTCCGCCGATTCCCTATTCTTCTCTACCTGGGGCGTTCCGCCATCGATTCAGGACCCTTACACCCATATTTCCAACCAGATCCTAAATTTCTTCTACCCTCCCGGCTCCCCGATTACCAACGAAAGCGCCGGCTTCAACCTGTATTTCTCGGCCGAAAACATTCGCGATTTTCTGGAGAAGTACACGCACTTCCATGTGCACTTCCCCATCCTTCATACCCCGACGTTCCGTATCCTGGAATCGTATACTGGCTTACTTGCAGGCATGTGTTGCATGGGCGCCTGCTACTCAGACCGTCTCTCTCCAGATCACGTGCGCGACATGATGAACTTCCTTCGGGCGGCTTTGATCCGCGATGTCCCATTCCTGGCCAACACCGTGGGCTCACGGCAGACTGGAAACGCTGACAATAGTTCTTCGGGCGATAGCAGTCGCGAGCTTGAGGAACTTCAGGCTGTCATGCTGCTCCAAATTCTGCTGCTCTGGAACGGCACACCTGGGCACCGTGAAAGCGCGCGTGAGATCTTGCCAGCAATGGCGGAGCAGACTCGCAAACTGCGTCTGATGGAAGTTTCCACAGCCATGCCCCTCTTCAGCCCGCTGCACCAAGTCAACTTTACCCCTCAAAACTTCGACGTCTCCACATTCGATTGGGGTGTGTGGGTTGAACAGGAAAAGCGGATACGCCTCATGCACATCATCTTCCTCTGCAACTCTGCCATGGAACTTTACTTCAACGCCAACTCCGAACTCGACAGTTTCGAGATGCGCATACCTCTTCCTTCGGACGACGCTGCATGGGATGCGCGGACGAAGAAGGATTGTGAGGACGCTCTCGGTTTCCACGGGGAGGAGCTTGTGCGACAAAAGAACCCGAATGGCACACAACGCAGCAAACAGCCGGAGATGGACCTTGCCCTCAGAGCGCTGTTGCACGGGTCGTATCAGATACAGCCTGGCAGCACAAACCTGTACGGCAAGTTCATCCTGATCCACGCCATCCTCTCCTTGATCCGACGCGCTCAACTGGACGGTAACGCCGTAATGAAGGGTTACGCGACGCCCCCGTTGAGTGACTGGATGGTGAATGGAGGATCTGATGGCACTGGTACAAACAGCGGAAGAGCAACACCTGTCGACCCCGCCACAAAAGCGATGCCCGCTCACGTTCAAGAATCTTTCCGCGTGGCGCTGCAAAAGTTCAAGGTCAACTGGGACGCGGACATGGTCAATCAGTTTCCCCCTGGTATGGCCAAGAACGCGCGCAGATATGGATTCTCTAGAGATGGCATCCATTTCTACTGGTTGGCGAGATACATGTTGAAGCACACGCGGGCAACGGATCTGCAGATGGATTCGGATCGTCGCTTCATGCAGGTGATGCAACTTCTGAAGTCGGTGAAGACATGGGTACAAACGGATGGAGCCTCGAGGGGCGAGGAATTGGGATCGGTTGGAGAAATCGACAAGGATTTTGGGTCGGAAAACCTCACACTCGACCTGGCGCGACTTTTCAAACATCTTTCGGCGGTGGTGGAAGACCCGGGAATCCCTTCAGTTCAGACGGATATCAGCACAGTGGCCGGCGGCACTCTCTGACACAACAAAACTCATCTGCATTTGGTGGCGTTTGTTTTACTTTTTTATTTCATTTTCATTTTCCTTTTCACGTTGTATCCTCACGGATCCGTTTTCATCGACTCATACGCGTTGTTGTTGAAAAGCAACCTCGATTCCCTACTGCATCAAAGCCGGACACGGTGGTTATTTTTGATATGCATCTTGTGGCGGGTGGTTTTGCGCAATGATAGACGGGGATGGTGGAGTTGGCACTGCATTAGACTGCGATCAGATAGAACTTGGGAGGCTCTCGGGTGACACCACAGGTGGCCCGGCGAGGTTGTCACGATATTCATGGCTTTTCGCTCATAATGATTTTCGTTGAAGCGGTTGCGCACGGCTAGGCTGGTCTGGTCTAATGTTAGATGTCTCAAAATGGGTGGTACTCGTCGTTTATCGCGAAAACAAAAAAAGGCGGTCCGCAGCAGCGGTCTACCGCCAGCGCAGTTTCTCAGTGCTTCTTTTGGAAGTCGGCATGAACTTAGAGATTAGACATTGCAAAATTGAATTGACTGTACAAAATCACCACTTTGTCCTTAATGATTGTGACTGCTTCAGAGACACCGTCCCTCACAAAATCGTAGTCTGGTCTCTTGACTTCTGCCTCACGACCTGTCGACGACGTGAACCTTGGGGACGTACTTGTCGACAGCAGCCTTCTCCTCGACGGTGGGCTTGTACTTCTCCTCAGCCCTGTCGGAAAGGTAGAGGCCTGCTCCGCCCCAGGCCAGGACGGCGACGCCAAACCCGAGGCGGGTCTTGGGAGACAGGTTCTTGTAGGCTCTGTGGGCGTGCGGGTGTCAGCTTAGCGGGCGCGACTTGAAGTGGAACATCCCATGCCAAGACGTGGCCGGCAGAGAGTGGGAGGAGTTTTTAAGCTTACTTTAACATCTTGAGCTCGTGCGTGGGTGGGTGGATGCGTGGATGGAGGAAGTGAGTGGGTGATTACGCAGAAGAGCTTGACGGCATCCCCGGCTCTAGTACACAGTCAGTCGGATGGCTCATCGAGCAGGTCGTCTGGTGGCTGGTTTCCTTACTGCAGCAACCTTGGCGAATTGGACGCGGTGAGGGAATCGGCAATGGCGCTGGCTGAGGGAAAGTTTTGGCGATGGGTTGATGGAGGAGGAGAGGTTCTCATGTTGGAAAAGGGCTGTGTCTGATTGGTTGGATGTCGAAATGTGGGTCAGTGGGAGAGTCTCTACCATCCACCACCCCTCGCTCGTTTGATTTAAGAATCTTGCAATGTCACTTCCTGGATTTCATGTAACGCCTAGAGTTCAGATGGCAGATTGATGGCTAGGCTCAAAAGATGTCCATGGCGTTCAAGCCACCCGCCGAGGTTGTGGGACTCATCCTCCACCACATATCCTGCGGGAACCTTCGGCAGGTCTGCTACACGTCTGTCTGGTCTGTGAATCTCTGGGCTATCTAGAGCTTCTAGCCTTGTCCCTCGGCCTAAGTTTAGTTCTTCTCAACTACTGGATAAAGTAACTTTTTCGGCACAAGGTCGCCCTCTCCTCTATTGTTGAAAGGAATGCGGTTTTACTTACTCCCCGGTTGAGGCTCTCAGCCAAGACTGGCATGAGCCCAAGTTCGGGATCTGGAGTTCAATCATAGACTTAAGGAGTGTGATAGATAGTGATACAACAGAGCGAGAAGTGATGAGATGGAAATCTGAGATGCTTCTGCTGGTGATAGTGAGAAGATTTGAGCAACCCAATGAGGCCAGGATTTCGCTGAACTAATACTCGGTTTAGAAATTCTTGCGCAAGAGGAGGCTTGAGCATCAAACTTCAAGACGATTGAACACGGCACAATCACAAGGCTCGTTTGACCTGCTGGTAAGTATGGTAGTAAGTCTCAGGCACTTCAGGCGTTCCGAAGGTGCACGGGTGCCTGGACATGGGACCGCTGCTTGAAGCTGACTATATAACTGAACGCGTTCGCAACATGAGTTAGGAGGAAGCTAGAAAACGCAAAGCTGAGACTTAATTCAAAAGGAGTATGTTGTTTGCTCGGACGTGATTATGATAGCTGGGGCGAGCATGTCGTCGCCCTCCTAGGTACGTTCAAAGGCTAGCAGCAAAAAGAGGAGATGAGCAAAAACATACAACACCGGGCATTCGCCGGTCGTCACCGACCCGACTACTACTCCAGCCCTCACTGGCTTATCTATGGGAGAGCGGACGGGATCCCGAGTTCTCCAGTGGGTATGGTCGTATGTGATGATTCCTGGAGGTCAACATACTTAGATACCAATCATTCACACATGACCAGCTAGGTCAGTATCATCTTCTCAATGTATGTTCCGTTCCAACAGACTTATCTGGACATTGAGGGAATTGAAGCAGTGCCTGCTTAACTCAAGTTCGCAGAAGTAGCCCTAGGTACAGCTGTCTATCATGCGAATACCCTACGTTTGTCATTCAGCTCTAAATCGCAACTTCACTTCACTTCATGAGCTGCCATCGACCGTATACAACAATATCTGAGTTCGTATTACTGCCTTTTCATCAGGCTGCAGTACAGGCAGTCTGAAGTAAGGTTTTGATTAAGATACACTCTCTCACCTATGTTCTCTCAAGGCCACTCCGACCTCGTAAAGAAACCTAGATTGGACCTCCCGTGTCGAGAACATGCAACCATTCGACTCACTTATTAAGCATGTCAACTCTGGGCCACCGAGCTTAAACATTGTCAGAAACTGTGCTTGCGAGACGGCTTCTGGCAACCTTTCTATGCGAGATTTACCTAGTATAGGGCACTGTTCATACCGATATACTACACGAGTCAAGACTTGTGACCTCTAAAGTAGAAGAAAGAGTTGATACTTGCGTTGTTGATACTTCTGACGAAGAACCTCTTGTAAGCTTCAACGTAACACAGCCGAATGCATTTCAGCTGCCTGTATCTCCGTCAAACGTGTTGGTGAGGTTCCCGGCTATGCTCTCGAGGTGGCTTCACCCGACGTTTTAGAAAGGATGTTGATCTCTCTACTCAAGTTGCGTAGAGATGACTTTTCAATTGAAGTGGCCCTTGTAGCCACGAGAAAGTAATCCTACTGGGTGCTGGGCGTAATACGCATTCTTTATCCTCATCATCAAGTTCATATCAACAGCCTGTCCTCATCCGAGTATATCAATACAGGGGCGTCGTATTGTTTTCTTCAAGATAGCAGCACCACACCCTGTGTTCACATAAGCCAAGCACCAGCGAAGCATTCTCGTGATCGTGAAAAGTGCCCGGGAGATAAACCAACTGCGCAGCATCGAAACGCATCACGAGAGCCTCAGGTTCGGATACCCTTCCCTCCTACACCAACAACGTCTCGTCAGTATTCCCCTGAAGATCGTCAAAGTCAATACGCCTTCTAGTCGACCATACAGCCCACGGGTTGATCGTAGCCACAAGTCAAGTAAGTTGCTTTAGTCCGCAGTCTAGACCTTTCCAACACTCTCGCGAGATTTGATGGAATTTGGACAAGGGGAGACAACAACTTCCTACCATGACGCAGTCACATTGTTTGCAGATTCAGACATCATACGTGGGAATCCCTGAAAGACACCGGGAACGATCGTTCGCGGCTGGTATTAGCTCACCAATCAATATCCTTGAGTCACACTATGAGAGCTTCACATCTTGACACAAGGGCGATACTCGTCTGAATTCATCCCATTCTTAGCCCTTGATCTACTGACGAAGCGTCACCGCCGTGGGATTGCAGACCAAACCGCATGAGCATATCTGGCATTAGGAGCTCTCGGATCGGACTATGGTCAATGCCAGAGCTGGCCTATTGGAGCAATTTTCCGAGCACACGAAGATATCTGTGTGACTGACCAATGATTAGAAAACACCTCGAGAAGAGAGCTATTGGTGTCGCCCATGGGTCAGTATTCAGTTGTGGTCGTTGTCAACCGCCGCCTGTCTGGCCGCGTCACGAAGCTCGGATGGTCGGTGGAAGTTGTGATCCTAGAAATCTACATGAATTCACCGAGCATATCAAATGACTGAAAGCTCGCTACATCAACATTGCCGCACAACGATCACGACCCGTGTGGCTTAGTGGCAACACCGGCAGGTGTCCACACACCTACCTGTCAACGCCATCCTGATTCTACGTGATGCCACCCGGAGGCCGATCTGTTGTTCAAAGAAACCAAGTCATCTATACGGCAAGAGGACGGGTTTCCACCAAAGTCTCCTCTAGACAGTGATTACATACGTACTCACACAAGACCGAAAACTGACGCATCCTCGGAGGCAACGAGTTGGGTCGCGATGGCTTTCATTACAGTCCGAGTTGGCGTGGTGGAGTAGCTTGAGATCGATTGTAGAACTCGTCATGTTTTCATTAAAGCGAAGCGGTAATATCAAGACGACGTCTTGGCCCCTGTCCCATCGCTAGCCCACTCGATGCTGTAAGCCTTCAATAAGTTTACAGGAGAAGAATACTGCTGAGGTTTCTGGCGACCTCCTGGAGTGCTCGACGTATCGTAGCCGGCTGGTAGATTATGATCAGACACCAGAACCATGGCACGTAAGCGTGAATAAGCGTAACGCCCGGAACAGGGGCATACACCCGACCCTGGACGTCAGTATCGGCGCCGAGGATGTTTGCCAGAGACGATTGTTGCCTCTGACCTCACGTTCTTCAGCATAGAGCTGCATCCCATTAAAGCATTCCGCGTGCGCTATAATGATCGACTCATGTGACCAGTAGTGAACGAGTACAACAAACACAGAACAATCTCATTAGCCCTTCCCGTCTGCTCGAAGATGGGATACATAAGGTTCAGGAAGAATGTCACACTCGCTCCCGAACTCCCAGGTCGGAGAGGCACAAGAGCTCACCAGAAGCGAAACGGCAGTTGAGACCTTGGTACAAACCAACATCTGCTGCTTGACGCCAGCACTCACTTGAGGCGTAAACAGAGAAACAGTTACTTCTCCAGACCCTGCGGTGTAAATATCTTGACGTTACAGACTCAAACGAGCGTAACTCAATAATTGAAGCCGCGAACCGATAGATGCCAATCCAGGAAACCAACGGTCGTCTTCATCCGTCCAGCGTTCTACGCGGCAGCATAATCTTCATACCGGCCAGACCAACATTTGGCTAGTCAAGCGAGTGAACTGCTCGGGCGCCGTATAAGGAAAAGCAACTGCCGACCTTAAGAAGCGTGATAATAGAGCACGAGCAATCAATGCCAGCGCAGGAGGAACACGGCCCCAACACCACATCCTCATGCCCTCATCCAGCCGTCAGCATGCACGATGAGATCGCTACAGCCGGGGGGTTCCAGAACAGCCCACCACCCGGTTGTGCTCCCCCTCCCCGCCACATCGCTGAAGTCATCATGCCGATAGCCACACCTGGCTTCCGGCCGGGTGGGGTCTCGTGCGACTTCATCGGGGGGTTTACGAAAAACATCCATACGTACAAAAGAAAGACACGGATAATTGCGTATGCTCCCGGGGCAAGTAGGCCCAGTCTTTGATCTCACCCGCCAGAGGAATGGTGTTGTTCTCGCTGCCCGCTGACGCGGTTCGCAGGCTGAATCTTGGTTCCAACAAGGCAAAAGGTGGGCGAGGACCCTGATTTTGTTCACCCTTGTCCCCCACGCAATCAGGTTCGGAGGACGTCATTGTCGATCATCTCTCTCCCGCGGGGTTGCACACAACGAGGGAAAGCTGCGAACCAGCAAGTTTTGAGGACGATGCTTGAAGAGATATAAAACGAGCAGAGTAGATAGAGGGAAATATGGAAAGAGAAGGGTAGTAACATCTCACGCTTGTGATTCACGGCGAGCCTCATAGACACAGAACGCCTCTGCGCCCCTAGACATCAACTTCGAAAACACAACTTCTCACACACAATTCAGAAACAATGGAGTCGTCAACCACGCAGTCCCTCCTCATCTCCCTCGCGATCATCGTCGCCGTGTTCGCCGGAGGCTTCTTTGCGTACCAGCAGGGAATGCTGGACCCTATCATCGAGCAGATTGGGTGAGTTTGACGGAGGCAGAAAGCACCTGCTGGATCTCGCGACCGTCCTTGCGGCAATGGCTAACCACTTATCGTCACCAGCGTCATGATGTTCAAGGCAAAGGCGGAAGCCGAGAAGAAGAAACTCCAGGCTCAGGGGCAGAAGGCCGGCCAGGATTTTGTCGATGGTAAGTCTTTGACAGCGGCAACCATGGGGCACAAAATATCCCGAGAAAACCCAACTAACAAACCCACCCCCGGCAGACCAACTCAAGGGGAACAAGCAGGCGGCCGATGTGGCGGACGGCATTGGTTCTTTTGGTGGACTGAAGAAGCAGCTTTAATTTCAACCCATGATGGCTGAATGAAGCTTATTAGCCGGGTCAGTCAAGCATCACCATGGTCGACAATGCGAGCAACGAAATTACGAAGTCAAGATTATTAGGGGGTTGGAAACTCGGGATTAGACGTTGAGCGTTAACGGCGTGGGAAACAGACGTGGGCCGGCGTCTTTTGCTAGTTCTTCTCAAGCTGTTCTCGAACATTTCTTTGGCGCTAGGAATCCAGGAGGTGAATGAAAACGGCGTTTGTCAGCAGTAATCTCGCTCGGGTGCTCGAATGCTCGAATGCTCCAGTGCGAAGTCTCCGTTGCCTGTTGGTTACATCTTGTTGACATTGAGGGGCGACGAAAAGAAGAAAGAAAAAAACAAGTGTTTCAACCAACTTGCTTTCCAGGAACAACCTGTTGCGGAGAGATTAAGGAGAGCATGGGTTTTGATGACCTCATGGCTCCTGAAGCAGGCAAGGGCCCTGGACGCTGCATGCCTAGAAACCAGCTCAAGAACACCCGTAGGCTGTGGCCCCCCCTAGCAGTTTGGCAAGTGCAATTCCGTTTGGCGGAAGGGAACAGGGCGCAGAGGACAAGGCAAGGGCTAGAGCATGCCATGCCTTGCCTTAGTGGACGGGTGCAAAGTTGCAGGGCTCTCGTGGCCCCGGCTCCGTGCAACCGTGAATCTGAACCTGTGACGATCGGCGGCGAGCTCGGGCTCTGCCTCCACCCTGAGCGTGCTGTCTTTCCACTTGGCTGTCACCTTTTACGCTTGAATATGCCGTCTGTCGACGCCAATGGGACTCTTGGACTCCAGTTTGGGGGCTTCGGCGAGCAGTCCAAAAGTCCAGACAACATTGACCGGCTATATTTGGTCTTTGTTAATGGAGGGTCCAGCTATCCCTTTTGCTCAAACCACTCGTTCGAATCCTCCTGACATGCTGTTGCCACGAGGTCGACTCGGTACTTGCGGCTGGCCCATGACCAAGGTTTTTTTTTTTCCTTTTTTTTTTTTTTTTTTTTTCTTTTTTCCGTCCTCTCCCCCCGATCCGTCATGAGCCACCCCGGTGAATCCGAATTGTCCCCCCTAATAACGGGTGGCCTGGGTTGCACAGACGGATTGACCGGCTGCGTCCGTCCGGAGGCCCTGCCAGGCCTCAAGAGTTCCGCGGGAGAGCTCCTGGCCTCATGCCCTTCGCAGCACAAGCGGAGCCCGTCGAGTTGTATATCCGGCACACGGCTCATCTGCGCTCGAAACTCGTCCGCTGCAGGGCCTGAAAGCCGCCCTGCATCGACAGCCAATTGCCGCTCACATCCCCCCCCCCTGAGGTTCAACGGCCTGCGGGCAGTAGCACAAAAAGCCGAGAAAATCTGTATCAAAATCTTCATCGAATGTGTGGAGTTGGGATGCCTGCTGTGGTCTCCCCTAGTACGCATGCGGCCCTTGGATTCAACGACGCCGATGAGTCAAGAACAAAGAAACGAAAGCCCCTGCTGGCTAAGCGCCGCGCATGGGTCGTCCGAAGTGGCTTGGATCCCCCGAGTGGCATCTCAACTCTGGAGTTTTTGCGGCCCACTCATCGCGGAATTCGCTTGGACAAGCGGAGATTTTCATTTCCCATCCATGGACAGACTTCAAGGTTGATCCTGCTATTTTTAAGTCCCTCTCGAGGCTATGCGTTCGTCGAAATGGCAACGACGGCCAAGACTTGTTTTCGGATTGCTAGCAACACGCGAGATGACTTTTGAATGTGGAATTCCCGCCAATGCTGGAGAATGCTTCCATGTGGCATTGGATCCGTTGAGGCAACGAGAAGACACGCTCTGGCGGGTCCCCTGTTTGCGTGCCATGTCTCCCGAAGGAATCGCCATGTTTGGGCGAATGAAGCCGCATGGGCATTAGAAAACGAGTGAGAGGTCAGACACGTTGAAGAGCGTTGTGAAGAACGTTCGAGCGAGCCGTTTCCCGGTTTGACCTGTCTGCCGCAAGCTTGGCATCTGTGAACTTGGTTGGATGTGAAAATCTTCTGGTTGGACTCGATGCAAACGATCGAGGCCGGGAGAGCAACAAGGCCCACGGGCCGTGTTTGATTGGCGCGTACCGGCGGCGCTAGGTTTAGAGTGGGGTCTGCCCTGCCTGCATTCCGGGGTTGAAGTGAAGTTTCCAGGTGGCTGGGACCAGATGGCAGTGTCCGTATCCGCATCTTCCATTCCGGAACCGATCCTCGCCGGGCGTTCTGCCGCGGGCGAATTGATAACCTCATCAGGTCGTTGGCAAAGACAGGTCCTGCCAAAAAATCTTGTCCAGGACAAAGAGACACGAAGACGGGTGGAATCCGCGAGTTCTTGGCGACAACGTGGTGTGGTGATTGACACCTCAGTGACCCCGTTGGCATTCGATCGGCTTCGGCCATGTGCGTGTCTGGGTTGACGGACCCAACTTTGGCGCGCCCCGCCTTGGAAGAATCCGGACGCAATCCGGACTGCCGATGGCAATGCTGGGCTGATGAGTTGGAATCTCAAGCCGCGAAAGGCCCGGCTCACGGCCCAAGCTGGCTGGCTGGCACTGGAGGCAGACCAGAGCTAGCCGCGCAACAGAGGCTAACTGCGGCAGCATGGCATGGCCGCGTGCTTTGTGTCTGTCTGTAGCTACTGCGTAGGCTGCCAGGAACCCCACCTGCGTTCCCCGCGCGAAGGGAGGGAATGGAGAGGAGAGGAGCGGTTGATCGCATGAACGGCACGGGTGACGACGTTTTCTCCTCGGTCGACAACTCACGAGATCAAAGTTGGTTGGCTGCAGTTCTCGTGGAACAATTTTGAGACAAGGAGGGGCATGTGAGGCAGCTAGCCGGTAATAATGCTCTGAGAAGCAGTCAAGACAGAGACTTGCAACCCGTCGTTGAAGGTTCTGGCAGAAAGTCGAACAGGAGTGGTCACAGACCGACGCCGAATTGCAGCAAGAAAACGTCTCATGGATGCATGCACATTCCGCCCCCAAGGTAGTGAGGAGATGCAGGCCGCACCTCTGCACCTCTCGGGTCCAAGGACGCGGGCTTGAGACATTGGTGTGATAGCGTCAGATGCCACTGTCAGTTCGCAATGGAGCGATAATCTTCGGGCGCATGGGTTGCCGATGAGTAACTCTGAATCGTCTCAATCTGTGAAGAGGCGCGATTGCAGATGCTCGGGGCAGAGATTCTCAAATTCCTTTGACACGGCAGGGTCGGGGGAGCGGCAGCGGGCGACCACGCCGAGTGAAATGAAACAATTCCCGAGTTGGTTGAGGTGCTTCATTGTCGCAGTGTTTGCTCTTTGCCTTTCTCCCCTGGTGGTGGCTTAAGCCCAGTGGATGTGGCGGGTTCCTCGGTTCGCTGTCGAGGTTCGTCGGCCTCTGATTTGCACGAGCTAACCCGGCGGTCGAGGGTGGTGTTGTATCCGTAAGGACATTGATGAGTCAACCACGCGCAGGCTGGAAGCAAGCTTACCCGTTCCCCTTCCCGGTCGCGAGGCGAGAGGTGAGAATGACGGATGACAGCGGGGTCGGATGAGCAGACCAGCCAAAACGAGACGAACCGACCCAAATCGGCCAGAGAGGGGACGATGACGATACGACGATACGGGGCCAACAGACGGCTCAGACTGAAGCAGGCTGGCGGATACCACGCACATACGAGAAAATGGCGATTTGGGTGCGTCGATATTGGCGCAACCGCCGTGCTGCTGCGTTCCTTAGTCAGGAACACTGAATAGAGCATCACACCCTTACAAAGGAACCTGAAAGAACCCGTCACCAGAGAGCCGTCAGACTCGACATCGTTGGGAGGGCGGTTGGTCGGTTGGGTGTAGTGTAGTAAGTGTGGTGGGATGCCAGGTGGGTGGACGAGGTAGACCAAAAGTACCGATAGTCTGAAGTGTATGACGAGTGGGGAGCCGATGTGAAGAGGTGGATGGACAATTGTTGGACTTGGGTACAGCAGTCACTGCAGCGAAATGCAGCTGAGGTGCAGCGAGCCGGGCCCCGCGAGGAGAGATGACTGCGTTGCGTTGCGTTGCGTTGCGTAGCAGCTGCTCCGGCCAAGCGAGCTAGCCGGTTGGCGATGGTGGTGGTGTTGGGGTCGGAGTCACAGCAGAGTACCAAGAGTACGTGTGGTGGTAACAGCAGGAAGGAAGACTTAGATGGTGCTGATGGTGAGAGAATGACAAGAGACGCAAGAGACGCAAGAGACGAGACAAATCCCCGACTTCATTGGAGTAGGCGAGAGACATCACATATCTCAGCCACACGATGGGAGGGATCCACTTTTCGTTACTGCAGATGGCAGTAGCACCTCACATTTGGCATGCACCAAGATGGAGCTTGATTAAATCCTTTTCGTTTCTCTGCGTGTCTTCGTTTCGTTTCTTTCTTCTTTGGTCGTTATCGAGAGCCTTGCGCACGGCAATCGGGTTTCCGTCTGAGAGCAACTCCTGTCTCGGCCGTCTCTTCGGGTTCTGTTCCGGCTTGGACCCTCGTTGACCCCTTTGACTCTCTCTCTCTCTCTCTCTCTCTCTCTCTCTCTGTCTGTTCAGGGACACATTAAAGTTGTCAAATATTGATTTGGGCAGTGTGTTAATATCGGGCTACTTCCAAGCAAGGGCGAAGGCGCCCGTCTCCGGACTGCTTCGCATATTGCGCACAGCTCGACATGTTCGCCCGAAGCATGGATCAGGCTGCATGTCAGGACGAGTCAAGACGAGCGTAGAGTGGGATCGTCGAGGCCGTCCGTGTCCCGTCCGCGCGCCCAGACCCTACTTGACCCTTTCCCCTCGAGAGACTGTTGCGCCTGTCTTGGACGGTGCATGGCAGAGGAGAGACGATTGGGTGGGCTGTCTGTTCTGAGGATAAGGGTCGCCGGCAGCTGGCTCGCAACGAAATAACAAGGTTTCATCTCATGATTAATCATGTAAAGCTCGCTGATGTGGCTTGACGAGGAGGATGCAAACTCTCCCTCCCTTGCTTACTGTTGGCTCACGACG